GAGGAGGGAGGCCACCAGCTGGGATGTGGGGAGCGTTTATGAAGGTGCTCCATGTGCATCTCCCTTTAAGTCTCCTAACAGCTCGTGAAGAAGTTATTAGTTCCGTTTTATAGATGAGACAATCAAGGTTCCAAAAGGAAGGTTGCACAGCCAGTAAACACATTGCCTGGATTTGACCCCAGGCAGTCTGACTCCGAAGCCTGGGTCTTAACTGCTGTGTCAGGCTGCCTGGCAGAGAATGTGCTGGGGCATGCCAGCCTATCCTGGGCCAGAGGGAGGTGGAAGGGCGTCTCGCTTCCTGCTGTGGGCCTGGGACTCCGTGCTTGACCTCTAGGCCGTTCTTAGAAAATGTGTGGGTGTCAGACAGCTGCAAACTTCTGTAAATTGGATCAGCGTTTTGCTTTGTTTTGTTTTTGAGACAGAGTCTTTGAGACAGGCTGGAGTGCAGTGGCGTGATCTCGGCTCGCTGCAACCTCTGCCTCCTGGGTTCAAGGGATTCCCCTGCCTCAGCTTCCTTAGTAGCCGGGATGACAGGCGCCTGCCACCACGCCTGGCTAATTTTTGTAGTTTTAGTAGAAATGGGGTTTCACCATGTTGGTGGGGCTGGTCTTGAACTCCTGACCTCAAGTGATCCACCCGCCTGGGCTTCCCAAAGTACTGGGATTACAGGCATGAGCTGGACTTTGGATGATAATGATGTATCAGTGTCGATTCACTGATTGTAACAATGTACCACTCTGGTGCAGGATGTCAGTAGCTGGGGAGGTTGTGGGCACAGCAGGTGTATGAGAACTCGCTATATCTTTTTGGTGTCAATTTTGCTGTGAACTTAAAGTTGCTCTAAAAATAAAACTGGCCGGCCGGGCGCCATGGCTCCCGCCTGTAATCCCAGCACTTTGGGAGGCTGAGGCGGGTGGATCACCTGAGGTCAGGAGTTTGAGACCAGCCTGGCCAACACGGTGAAACCCCGTCTCTACTAAAAATACAAAAATTAGCCGGGCGTGGGGACACATGTCTGTTACCCCAGCTACTTAAGAGGCTGAGGCAGAAGAATTGCTTGAACCCAAGAGTGGAGGTTGTGGTGAGCTGAGGTCTTGTCACTTCACTCCAGTCTGGGCGACAGAGTGACTCTGTCTCAAAAAAAAAAAAAAAAAAGAAAAGAAAAGAAAAGAAACCAAAATACAAAACACAAAGTCCACTGTGGTCACTCTTGGGGTTTTGACAAATGCATGACCTGCGTTTGCCATTATAGTATCAGACAGAGGAATTTTATTGCCCTAAAAATCCTCCATGCTCCACCTATTCTTCGGTCTCTCTCCAGCTCCTGGCAACCACTGACCATTTTTTTTTTTTTTGAGACGGAGTTCTGCTGCTCTGTCGCCCAGGCTGGAGTGCAGTGGTGCAATCACAGCTTACTGCAGTCTCGACCTCCTGGGCTCAAGGATCCTTCCACCTCAGCCTCCTGAGTAGCTGGGACTACAGGTGAGAGCCACCATGCCTGGCTCATTTTTGTATTTTTTGTAGAGATGGGCTTTCATCATGTTGCCCAGGCCAGGTCTTGAACTCCTGGCCTCAATCAATCCGCCTGCCTTGGCCTCCTCAAATGCTGGGATTACAGATGTGAGCCACCGTGCCTGGCCAACCACTGATCTTTTACTGCCTCTGTGCTTCTGCCTCTTCCAGCATGTCATGTAGTTGGCATCATCGTAGCCTTTTTCAGATTGATTTATTTTACTTAGTATTTTCCATTAGAGTTTCCTCCATGTCTTTTCATGGCATGAGAGCTCATTTCTTTCATTGGAGAATAACATTCCATTCTATTGGATGTACCACTCTTTTGTTTTTTTTTGAGACAAGAGTCTTGCTCTGTCTCCCAGGCTGGAGTCCAGTGGCACTGTCTTGTATCACTGCAAACTCCGCCTTCTGGGTTCATGCCATTCCCCTGCCTCAGCCTCCTGAGTAGCTGGGACTACAGGCACCTGTCACCACGCCTGGCTAATTTTTTTTTTTTTTTTTTTTGTATTTTTAGTAGAGACGGGGTTTCACCATGTTAGCCAGGATGGTCTCGATCTCCCAACCTCATGATCTGCCCTCCTCAGCCTCCCAGAGTGCTGGGATTACAGGCGTGAGCCACTGCGTCCGGCCGGATGTATCACTCTTTATCCATTCACCTAGTGAAGGACATTTTGGTTGCTTCCAAGGTTTGGCATTTATGAGTAAAGTTGCTATAAATATCCATGGGCAATGTTTGTGTGGGCACAAGTTTTCAGCTTCTTTGAGTAAACACCAAAGAGTGTGGTTGCTGGATTGGATGCTAAGAGTATGTTTAGTTTTGTAAGAAGCCACCAAAGTGTCTTTCAAAGTGGCTGCATCGTTTGACGTTCCCACCAGTGATGGCCGAGGAGTTCCTGCAGCTCCACGTCCTCATCAGCATTTGGTGCTGTTCACATTTTGGATTTGGGCCATTCTAAAAAGTATGTAGTGGTCATTTTATCTTTTCTCTTTTTTCTGTCTCTCTGTTTAATTTAAAGTTAATAGCATTGACCAATACGTTGTATGCATTTACACTATAGCATGTTATATTTTTGTTTTGATCATGTTCCTTTTCACTTTTCCATTCTTTTTCTTTTTCTTTTCTTTTCTTTTTTGAGACAGAGTCTTGCTCTGTTGCCCAGGCTGCATGGTGGCACAGTCTTGGCTCACTGCAACCTCTACCTCCTGGGTTCAAGCAATTCTCTTCCCTCAGCCTCCCGAATAGCTGGGACTACAGGTGTGCAGCACCACACCTGGCTAATTTTGTGTTTTCAGTAGAGATAGGGTTTCACCATGTTGGCCAGGCTGGTCTTGAACTCCTAGCCTCGGGTGATCCACCTGAGGATTCAGCCTCCCAAAGTCCTGGGATTATAGGCGTGAGCCACTGCGCCCAGCCTCTGTTCTTTTTCTTTACTAATGCTCTCATAAAACAAAATGGTAAAAACGGGAATGAAACAAAAAATGTTTTACATCGTGCTATTGATTTATATATTTACGCTTTTTAAAGTTGATTTTTAATGGACAAATGAAATGGTATGTATTAACAACATACGACATGATGTTTTGATACATGAATACATGTGGAATGGCCAAATCAAGCTGTCTCACACATACAGCACCTCACTCTTCGGTGTGATGAGAACACTTAAAACCGACTCTCTTGGCAACTGTCAAGTCTACTGCTGTCTCTGTCTTCATGTCCTTCCCGCCATCACCGGGAAGCAGGATGAGCCACAACCCAGAATCCACTGTGGGCAGCTGCTGAGCTCTCCTGGCTCAAGTACAGTGGTGGCCGCCAGGACCCTCTCCCGGCCATTGTCCGGGTCATCCTGCTCGGGCGTGAGGCTGGTGTTGGAGGTCTACCTGGCTCCCTCTCTCCTTCCTCACTGCACCAATAGGGCGTTTCCTAGAGTGTGTGAGGGGGCCGGCCCCTCCTTGCTTGCCCCTGCCCTACAGAGACCCCCTTTTCCTTCTCCCTCTGTGCGGGTGGAACTTGTGGGCTTGTTGCTTGGGCTTCGTGTCTACAGGGCTTGGGAGTTTTGGGAGGCAGAGGGGCCTGTTCAATGACGCCTCGTGTGTCCTCTGTGGGGTGCTTTACAGAGGCAGAGGACGGCCCCTGCATCATGCGGATGGACGCTGCTGGCTAAGGCTTCCACTCTGAGCTCAGTCTGGCAGGCTGGGCACCCATGAGCACCTCAGGGCTGTCTGAAAAATCAGACCTCAGGGGAGCGGAGTTGGGGCAGGAATATCCAGAAGCTTCCCTCTCCCTCTCCCCGCCTGCCTCTCACCCCAAGCCCCGGCCCCATCGCCCCTGGTTGTGCCAATTGGGAAGTTTCCTTCTTGGGACTGTCGCCTCTCCAGGTTCTATGTGTTCCATCCACTGCCAGAGAAGGACCTGCGATCACAATGAAAGATGGGCACAGCGTGGCTTATGGCTGCCACCAAGAGTGAGGAGTTGGACACTGGGCGGGGGGGGGGGGGCAGCCCCTTCATCCTTCCAGACTCTCAGGCATGGGGGTGGCTGGGAATGGGCACTAAAGGTTGCTGTGAGCTGGTCAAGACGGGGCGGGCCGTGCTAGTTGGGCATCTGCAGCGTGAGACTCATGGCTGCACACTCCTGTGACTGCTGTGTGGACCCCAAATACAGGACAGAAACCCCCCCAGGGGCCTGAATCCTGGCAAGGCTCAGCCGGGGCTAGACAGGCAGGGGCACGGCCGTGGTGTGGGGTGCTGGCTTGGCCCAGTGAGTCCGTTCCTTTCTGTCATATTGGTGACAGCATCCACACCAGGCCACGGGCCATGAGCCCTCTGAGGCTGGGCCAACAGCCCTGTGGGACTAAGGAGTCAGGGCTGCCCCAGCGGCCTGGAGTCACTCAGTGGGCTGCGGCCTGGCTTGTGGCCCCGTCTCTGTTCAGCCCTCTGGGTGTGTGTGTCGCCTGAGCCTCTCACCACTCCTTGAGGATGCCGTGGTCCTGGCCTCTGAGCCTCTGTGGGTGTGGCTTTCTCTTGTGGCTTCCTCCCTCCTTCCAAGTCCAGGCAGATGCGCCCTCTTTCCCGAACCCATCCCCTACACCCCGTCAGAGGGACTTCCTCCCACCTTGGGGGTCTCAGCCCATTTTGTGCTGATGCCCTGCCTGGTGGGTCATGGTTCCTGCCCGAGCCTGTGTCCCTGCGGCCCACGAGTTCCTCGAGGGCGGACACGGCCTTCTCCAGTTCTGAATCCCTCATCGTCCACCTGCGTCCCTGCCACGGCCTCTCCCATGGGCTCTCATGAGGTGCTGGGTTAAATGGGGTTGAACACAGACCACCTAAGGGGCCGAAGCCGCTGCTTCCCTGTGTTTGGGGCGGGATTGGGATGGGCTCGGGCTTCCTAAGTGGTGACTGTGACTCCACTGGGTGACCTGGCTCCTGCTGCCTCTCATAGCAGAGTGGGGGTCCCTTCTTCCTTGCTGGGCACAGGGCACACCTCTGGGTGGGAGACAGGTTTCTTTTTCACCAGCTCCCATCTGCCCGCTGAGAAAAGGCACGAACACAAGCGACACGGAAGCGCTGACATTTGGCAGCAGCCTCCTCCCCTGGCGTCTGAGGCAAGCCGGGAGGGCGCAGGGCTGGGTCGGGAGACGGCGAGTGAGCAGGTGGCGGGAGGCTGTGCTCAACCCCAGGTCGGGCTTTACTGGTGGAGTTTCAGGCACAGTCATGAGATTTCAGATCGTGAGTGGGAACTTCAGGACCCCCTGACTTCAACGGCAGAACTGGTCTCCCGCTTCACCCACACCTGCAAGTCTGGTCGGCCCCTGACCGGCCACGGGTCCTGCTCTCCTATGGCCCGGAAGCCTCACCCGCCTCCTGCCTCCTCCCCAGGCCAGGCAGGTTGTGATGACGAGAAATCGAGAGGCTCACAGCTGGGGATTTCCCTGCCCAGCAGGCGCCAGCTCCGGCCTCATCAGCGGAGACTTCCTGCTCTGTCCCAGCCGTGTCTTGTCCGCATCTCGCCCCGAGGAGCAGGTGTGCAGTTCCTGAGTGACGCGAGGCACACAGGGCCGTCCTGACCTCGCTCCACCCGCTTCACAGCGGCAGCCTGGGTCGGGAGAGAGGGCAGCGATTCCTCCCGCGATGCCCTGGCCTTGGAGAAAGGCAGCCCGGGCAGTCGCTGGGAGAATACATGGAGATGACAAAAGCAATCACAGCTAAGAGCTGACATTGTTTACTGAGTGCTTGCCATGCCCTGGGCCTTGTTCTGGCCCTTTCTACTGGCACTTGTTGAAGCCTCACGATAACCTTGCAAAATGGGTTTATGAAGCACGTTTCACAGATGAGGAGACTGAGGCTCGGAGAAATGACCTGCCAGGCTCATTCAGCCGGGAAGGGGATGAGGCTGACACTGAGGGTCATGATGGGTGACTGTTGGTGGAAAGTATTAAATGGGGAATTCTGTTCCCGAGAGACCTGATCCCAGGAACCGACTTTTGAGAAGTGCCAAGTCTTGGAGCTGGCGGTGCTGAGGTCAACCAGGCCAGGCCCGGGCTGTGGTGTTCCCTCCCAGGGGACAGAGCAGAGCACTTGGCCCTTCACTAAGCCCTCCCGCCTCTGTGATCTCTTTGGCTCTTCACGGCAGCCTTGGAAAGTAGGTGTTAAGATTCCCATTTCCTAGTTGGGAAAACTGAGGCCTGAGATGGGAAGTTCCTGCCCAGCATGGAATGCCAGAGAGGGAGGAGTTGGACCCATTACTTCAACCTTGGCACCTGCAGCCTCCCCTGCCCTTTCCCCGGTGGGGGTGAGGCTGCTGTGTGGGTGTGGGGGTGACTCACACGGGCCACGTGGGCGGCCGGGCGGGCAATGCAGCTGTGGCTGGTGGGCGTGGCCTGCCTGGCGCCGAGGGCAGGTGGCCCAGCCAGTTCTGCCTCTGATGCCTCATTCCAGCCATCCCTCTGCCTGCAATGAGAGCTTTCCACCGCCTCAGCCACGGTCCCACCCAGGGACCTTGGGCCCCAGACATGCGGTGATCTCAGAGCAAGGGTTGCCACGACCACTCAGAACCTCACCAGGTGAGTCTTCCCTGCACAAGGCAGCTGGTCATCTCCAGGGTCCCTGGGGAGCCCGGAGCATGGCCCTCAGAGGTCCTCTGGGCCATGTCTGCCCTTGGCCAATAGACCTAGGGAGGAGGGCTGGAAGGAGCGTGGGCCCCAGCGAGGAAAGCAAGGCCGTGCGCTCTTGGCTGTAGGGACGTGTGAGAATACAGGTCCTTACAGACTCAGGAACATTTCCCTGAGGTTTGGGAATCCTGGGGAGGGACATCTCAATCTCACCACGGCTGAGGGGCAGAGGAGAGGCTCCTGCCTCCCCAGGCTGGCCCAGGGAAGTGGCTTTCTGGGGCAGGAGTGTGATGGGAGTTCGGGATGGGAGGCGGTGGCCCCACCGTGAGAGAGGGATGGGGCCCAGGCATCTCACAGGTGCTGAGTCAGCAGCTGTCGCCCAGGAAAGACCATTTCAATCAGTGTCAGGGATTGGGAGAGAGAGGGAGGGCCAGGGCAACCAGAGAGTCCAGCAGGTGAGAATGCGGGGTTTATGGGGTGACTCAGGGAGCTCATGATAGCTGCTGCGGCCCCAGTCCGGAGCTCCCTGAGCCTCTCCTGCCCCAGAGGCCCACGGCAGGCCACATTCTCAGGCCCAGGGAAGGCAGAGAGCAACCAGCTCTCAGGGCCACAGAGTCCTTGGGGACCACTCAGCCCACTTCTCAGAAAGGAAAACAGAGGCCCTGGGAGGGGTGAGACGTACCCTTCATCTGTCTCCTTCGTGCTCGGTGCCTCCCAGCCTTTTAGTTCACCAAAGGCCACGTGTGGATGGGGAAAGCCGTAAAGGCTGCCCATCCTCATCAGGCCGTGACTGGACATGGGAAGGCCGGGAGCCCAGCAGTCCCTCTCGGTGGGCTACTCCACCTGCCTGGCCTCAAGGTGCCTGCGCTCCGGGGCCAAAGCTCTCCCTCGCCGATGCCTCCCCGATCCTGAGCCTGCTCCGTTTGAATTGGAGGGCGGGGGCTTTCTCTAGCCTGATGACATCCGGTTCCGGAAACTTCCTCCAGGAAGCTTTCCTATTGGGGTGGGATCACCAGTGGCCCCAGCTGGTTCTTCTTACAGGAATCCATCTTCCTGCCCCCACCTATGTGTCTCTGGGTGAGTCCCCTGAGGGTGACTCAAGCTAAGAGTGGCACCCCCTGACTGCACAGTCACCACCTGTCCACACAACCCTTTCCCAGCCCATGTCCTCCCTCTGTGGCCAGCTGCCCCCTTCCCCATCCCTATGGTCCCTGCAGCAGCCTCGTCCTGGCCCCTGGCTTCTGGTGTCCCCCACACCGCAATGCAGCACCCAACTCCCAGCTGCCCCCAGGGCTCAGCCATAGCTCTTTATGTTTAATAAAAACTTTATTTATTTTTTATTCATTTTTTTTGAGACGGAGTCTCGCTCTGTTGCCCAGGCTGGAGTGCAGTGGCACAATCTCGGCTCACTGCAACCTCCGCCTCCTGGGTTCAAGCGATTCTCCTGCCTCAGCCTTCTGAGTATCTGGGCCTACAGGTGTGCACCACCATGCCCCCTAATTTTTTGTGTTTTAGTAGAGACAGAGTTTCACCATGTTGCCCAGGTTGGTCTTGAGCTCCTAAGCTCAGGCCATCTGCCCACCTTGGCCTCCCCAAGTGCTGGGATTAGAGGTGTGAGCCACCGTGTCCGGCTAACGCCACAGCTCTTATGCGGCGTGCAAGGACTTCACAGGGCCCAGCTTGCCCACACAGCTTTCGTTGCCAGGGTCCCCATGAGCTCCCCAGGTTCTCTGGCCACAGCAGCTCACTCCACTCCTACCACTCCTGACCCTTCCAGGCCGTGCCCTCTGCCCGGCTTGTCCTTCCTCCACACAGCAGCCTGTACAGTCCGTCCTGGTCTTGTTGGAAGATGTATCAGTCCCCCTTCCCCAATCCCCACACCCCTTGGGGCTCAGCACCGTGCCCAGCCCACTCTGAGCATCAGTAAAGCAGGTCTGGACAGGGGTTGGCCTCCTCCGCCTGGGGTAAGGGGACTCAGCTGCTCCCTGCAGGTGGGAGAGGAGTCTAATGGACGGCAGCCATAAGCTGGTTACATGCAGCTTTGGGAGGGCGGGGGACATGATTGGCGTGTTGGCTGCAGAGACCACCTGGACACTGAGGAATCCAAAACACCCGAGGAGCGTGAGGCTGTGTTACTAGGAGCATAACGTCTAGAGCAAAGGAGGTGATAATCTTGCTCTGCGGAGGTCAGAACTCTTTGAGAGCTGCTCATCACGAAATCAGAGAGGGGCCTCTAGAAAACAGAGCCGGTGCCCAGGAGTCCGCCTGGGGACCGGTCGGCTGAGATGGTGTTGTGAGAGAGGATCGGGGCATGGTAGTCTCTACTGGGACACCTTCCTGGGCTCTCCTAGGACCATAGCATCAAGGGTGCTAGAGCAGGGAGCTGGGGAAGCTTTGGGGACAGCTTCTGTGTCCTTGAAGAAGGGTTGGTGACCTGGGAAGGGAGGAGTGAGCTTCCTGTCCCAGGGACTGTGAATGGGAGCTGGATACAGCCACACGGGGATCCTAAACTCCCTGAAGCTCCCCCCGTCCCCTCAGCCTGAGCATCTGCCCTGTGGTTGTATTCCAGCCATGAATGCCCACCCCAAGGAGACGGTGCCTCTCATGGGCAAGAGAGTTGCCGCCCCCAGTGGGAACCCTGCCATCCTGCCAGAGAAGAGGGCGGCGGAGATCACCCCCACAAAGAAGAGGTGGGTCTGGAGGGCTCGGGACTGGGACCGCGGCACTGTGAGGGGCAGGAGCGGGGGGCCTAGCAACCCCCAGGGAGCCCTCGCCTTGGGGAGACCTGAGACTCTCAGTCTGGCCTGGGGTGGCCCGGTGCCCGGCGAGGTATGACTGGGGGATGGTGCTGGGGGGAGCACAGCACACTCAGGGGGCTGAGCTGCGGTGGTCAGTGTGACTGGCACAATTAGGGAAGCCTCCTTGGAGGGATCGCGGGTGCTGAGGCAGGAGCAGTCAGGAGGATTCCTCAGGGAGGTGAGGGATGGCTGGAGCCATCCTTGAGACGAGGAGCAGAATGCTGGGTGGAAGTTCCAGGTGACCTGGACCCTCTGCCGGGCACATTTTCCACACACACCAACGGCTTTCCATCCACCGTGCAACCAGCCGGGTTGTTCAAGCTCTTGAACTCCACCTTTGGAATGGGGACACCGGCAGTGGCACCAACGATAGGATGACGGTTAATTGGGATCAAGTCAGCAAAGTGCTCAGTGTGGCGCCTGGCACGCGGTCAGAGCTCAGCACGTGCTGGCACTGAGAGTGTTCTGTGACCCCATCATCATCATTGTCCCCATCACTCCACGGGGTCCCTGGGAACTGGGCCGGGCTGGAATGATCAGCTTTACTTCTTGGCTGGGGACATGGAGGAGGCCTGGAGCAGAGAAGGACCTCTCTAGGGTCGCCCGTCCCGCCCCTCTGCTGCCTCCATTGTAGATTCTGTACCCCCAGCTGATTCGGAGCCTCTCAAGCTGTCCCCCAGCCCACTTCGTCTGTGCGTCCCTTGAACCCGGGGTGGCCCTGCCTCCTCTGCCTGTATCCCAGGCCCCCTTTGGGCCAGGGGTGAGCTTGGTGCTTCTCCGCTGTTAGTTGGAGCTATAATCACTGAGGTGTCCTGTGTACCAGCCCCAGGGTTGGGCTCAGGATAACGAGCTTGGGACATGGAGAGAAAAATGGCCACGCCTGCTCACAGTCTGGTGAAAGGGGAGTCGAGGAGAGAGTGGGAAGCGACCAGAGAGAGGTGAACTAGCCCCGTGGGGCCTGAAGAGCGGCAGGTTATTCTGATCCTGTAGGCAGTCTCAGGGGACTTCCTGGAGGAGGTGGTGCTAGAGAAGATGTGGAGAGGAAGGAAAAGTACATCTGGGGCAAGAGACATAGGAGCAGTGGCTCCGAGTGGGGCCACTGAGGTGAGGAGTCTGGTGTAGCTGAAACGCTGGGCGGTAGAGGAGTCTTTGGGGAGATGAGTCCCCTTGACTTCCTTGGTGGTCAGTCAAGGAAATTGGACAATCCTGAGGGCAGTGGGGAGCCATGGAGGGGTTTTTTGTGGGAGGGAGGGCATGGTGAGATGTGCCTTTTGGAGAGGTGACTCGGGGGGTCTGCATGGATGATGGATTGGAGGAGAGGTTGACGGCAGGGAGACCACGAGGAGGCCTTTGGGAAGCCCAGGTGATAGGTGGTGATGTGTGAGCCTGGGTGGTCAGGGATAAAGAGGAGGGGACAGCACAGAGGGGTGTCAGTATCATAGGGTCTGCAGGACCAGGCATGGGAGTATGGGAGAAGGAGGAATCCCGGTGGGAGGGACTGGAGGGTGGTGGGGTGGTCTCTGACATGGTGCATCAGAGAAGGTGGGAGGGCCTGGAGGGATGGCGGGGCCGTCTCTGACATGGTGCATCAGAGAAGGTGGGAGGGCCTGGAGGGATGGCGGGGCCGTCTCTGACATGGTGCACCAGAGGAGAAGATCCAGGTCAGGAAGAATGAGCCAAATTCAGTCGTGAAATGTTGGGTAAGAGGTGCCTGAGGGACACCCAGGTGGAGGCCCCATCTTGGAATGCAAGAGGGAAAACTGGTGGAAGTGGAGCCAGACAGGTGTCGTGTGGGGCCAAGGGGGCAGCCTGGGTCTGGGTGGGCTTGTCCAGGGAAGGGCCGAGACATCCCTGAGCTAAGCGGGCAAGGACCACCTCCCTGGCTCTCCTCCCACTTCCCCTCCGTTCTCACTTTTCCGGGGGAGGTTTGGACCGCGGGAAAAAATTGAGGACAGAGTTTTGGGAGAATCCCAGGTTCTTTCCTCAGCAGGACCCGTCAAGCCACCTGCTCTGAGCCCATCTCCCCCCATTCATAGACTTAGCTCCAGGCTTAGTTCTGCAAAGCCTCCTCAGCCCAGCCAAGAGCTGAGCTTGATGTGTCTCCTGAATTGGTGTCCAGTCCTCTGCCCCAAAGGCTCTCTGAGGACCCTCATGTGAAGGTTTGGGCATCCCCCTCAGAACTGAGTAGGGGACTTGGGCCTAGAGAGAAACAGAAAATATAAGAATAGGCTGGGTGCAGTGGCTCAAGCCTGTAATCCCAGCACTCTGGGAGGCCGAGATGGGTGGATCACGAGGTCAGGAGATCGAGACCATCCTGGCTAACACGGTGAAACCCCGTCTCTACTAAAAATACAAAAAACTAGCCGGGTGAAGTGGTGGGCGCCTGTAGTCCCAGCTACTCGGGAGGCTGAGGTGGGAGAATCGAGACCCGGGAGGCGGAGCTTGCAGTGAGCTGAGATCCACCACTGCACTCCAGCCTGGGTGACAGAGCGAGACTCCGTCTCAAAAAAAAAAAAAAAAAAGAAAAGATAAGAATAGATTAAGGCCGGGTGCGGTGGCTCACACCTGTAATCCCAGCACTTTGGGAGGCCGAGGTAGGCAGATCACGAGGTCAGAATCAAGACCATCACAAAAAAGCAACACAGTGAAACCCAGTCTCTACTAAAAATACAAAAAAATTAGCCAGGCATGGTGGCGGGCGCCTGTAGTCCCAGCTACTCGGGAGGCTGAGGCAGGAGAATGGCGTGAACCCGGAGGTGGAGCTTGCAGTGAGCCGAGATTGCACCACTGCACACTCCAGCCTGGGTGACAGAGTGAGACTCTGTCTCAAAAAAAAAAAAAAAAGAGTAAATTAAAAGGCTGGGCGTGGTGGCTCACGCCTATAATCCCAGCACTTTGGGAGGCTGAGACAGGTGGATCATTTTGAGGTCAGGCGTTGAGACCAGCCTGGCCAACATGAAACAAAACCCTGTCTCTACTATAAATACAAAAACTAGCCAGGTGTGGTGGTGGGCGCCTGTAGTACCAGCTACTCGGAGGCTGAGGCAGGAGAATCGCTTGAACCCAGGAGGTGGGGTTGCAGTGGAAGGTAAGATTGTGCCACTGCACTCCAGCCTGGGCAACAAAAGCAAAACTCTGTCTCAAAAAAAAAAAAAAGAAAGGCCAGGTACGGGTGGCTCCGCCTGTAATCCCAGAACTTTGGGAGGTCAAGGTAGGTGGATCACAAGGTCAGGAGTTTGGGACTGCGCCTGGCCAACATGGTGAAACCCTGTCTCTACTAAAAACTACAAAAGTAGGTGGGTGTGGTGGCGCGCACCTGTGTCCCAACTACTTGGGAGGCTGAGGCAGGAAGTTGCTTGAATTTGGGAGGTGGAGGTTGCATTGAGCCGAGATTGTGCCACTGCACTCTAGCCCTGGGTGACAGAGCAAGATTCTGTCTTAAAAAAAAGGAAAAAAATATATAAATTATGGAGTGAAGAAAGAGGGCAATACTGACCCCTAAAACAGGTGCTAATGGTGGAATCAAAGGCACCAGGGAGTCTGGAGATGGGAGAGACTTTTGGACCTGGGAGTGTTCCTGAACTATCGTGCCATTCCCTGACAGTAGCTGTCATCTTGGCTTCCTTCCTGGACCCTGGAAAAGTGATGCCCAGGGTCAGAGATGCAGACTGATGGAGGTTGTGGAGGCACTGGCCTTGCAGAGCCCAGAGCACTTGGGCATTTCTTGGCACAAAGCAAATGAATGGGCAGTCTCCTTCCCAGCCCTGGACTGTTCAGGGATAGTTCTTTGACTTCAAAGGAACAGAAATGCAGTAGAAATGGTATAGAGCTCTCTGCTCACCTGGGTCAACCACACCCAGCTGGGTGCCCGCTGGTCTGGACAGAAGGCAGGAAGAAACAAACATCGCCTACAGCAGGTCAGGGCAGGGTGTCACAGGGCTAAGGCCTTCCACGTGCTTATGACACTGGGTGGGATGTGGTGTGTAAAGTGACCAGTAGGGCAGGTACAGGACAGACCCTCACAGTCTGGCAACTGCTCTGCCCCAGGAGTTAGGTCTTTGCCCAACAGTTGAAGTCTTCCAGCCCTGTGCTTATCACTGTCTTCTCATGTCTGGTCCTCCAGCTGACAAGGGCTTCCTTCTCCAGACATAGACCTCCCCTTCTCCTGAGGCTTTCTCATGCTGTTCTGCCTTTGGGGCTTTTCCCAAACCAGAGGATGGTGTCAAGACCCAGACCACATCCACCCAAAGAGCACAGAGCCCTCCTGATCCCTGTCTCTTTAGCTAGGAAGGATCTTCTCTTCCTCTGAGCTCCCATAGCCAACCTCTCTCTGAAGAGGTTGTGTAGATCGTGGGATGATGTTAGCTCTGGTTGAGATCTCTGGCGTGGGGTCCTGGAAGGTTCATCTCTTCCCTTCTGTCTCCTAGTTTCTTCCCCACAGAGGATGTTAGAAGCTTTTGAGTAAGTAGATGAGTCAATAAAAGGGCGGGCAGAGGCGGCGCGGTGGCTCACGCCTGTAATCCCAGCACTTTGGGAGGCCGAGGCAGGTGGATCATGAGGTCAGGAGATCGAGACCATCCCGGCTAACACGGTGAAACCCCTTCTCTACTAAAGCCCACAAAAATTAGCTGGGTGTGATGGCAGGCGCCTGTAGTCCCAGCTACTTGGGAGGCTGAGGCAGGAGAATGGCGTGAACCTGGGAGGCGGAGCTTGCAGTGAGCCGAGATCGCACCGCTGCACTCCAGCCTGGGCAACAGAGCGAGACTCTGCCTCAAAAAAAAAAAAAAAAACAGGCAGGAAAATGATAGGCTGTTGAGCAAGCAGCTGGGTGGCCCCAGCACAGCCCTTGGCATGCATGGGGACACTATGGAGCGATGAGAAATGCTTCTTCC